CTAACAGCTACCTTTTCCATAAAATGCGTAAATAAAATTATTCCACAAGATTGAACTTGTTCTAAAATCTGACTTCTTATTCTGTGTTGCTCCACAGGATTAATAAAAGTGACAGAAGAAGAGTTACAGGTTTGATTCAAATTAGTTTCCGGCTCTACGCAGACATTGCAATCTGAATTTTTGTGCTGAGGAGGAGCACTACAGGGCTACAGGGGTACTTCTTGGTTTGTTTTGTTGGGTTTTTTTTTTAAAGAAGTTTTCAAATTAAGATGTATGGAAAGGGGAGGGGAACGAAACAGCTATGAAACTTGCTGTAACAAGCTATAGAAATCTGTTGCGTGTATCAGAATTATGTTTACACATACTATTAACGTTACTAGGTTACGCCACATAGTTAAGATAACTCTCACGATTCCTCCTCACATGGGCAATAACTCAAAACGAATCCTTATTCATGGTAAAGTACTCCTTTGCAAGCTACCAAACAACAAGTACAAAAGCCCATAAAGTCTACATGCGGGAAATGAAGTCTTTGTGAAAATCATTTATGTTTTTAACTGCATCCAGGACAACCCTCTGAAAACATTCTTTCAGGGTTTGAAATCAAAAGGTCACCTTAGCACTCTCTATTTAGCTGAGTAGCAGCTTGCTATCCAGTTGTCTGTGTGCATGCACTTAGCTTGCAATTCAACTCATTAAATAATATTTGAGCTATACTGTCCCTGGACTTACTGAAGTTGTCTAAAAAAAGTTAAAAATAAGCCATTTGTTGTAATTAGAAGGGGACCAAATATAAGGAGCTATTTAACAAGAAGTTAAATAGCTGGAGTCAATAATCACGAAGAACTAAAAAGAACTGCTTTAAAACCAGAGAACAAAACCAGAACCTGCAGTTATTTTGCTGCCTTGCGGGAAGGTTACGGTAATAGGCCATTTTAAAATGTGTTCGGTGAGCTCACAGGGATTAAAAGAGACGCCACTGAAGCTCCAAAAGAATTGAGATTTGAATAAAAGTGATTCTGGACATAAAGCAAAGCACTCTTGATAACCTGCATCTTAGACTCTGAATTGTCTTGGACAGATTTAAAGCACTGGAATCGATATTAACAAATCCCCTGACAAAACATTCACGGAAATTCTTCCTCAGCAGCTGAATACAGAGGAAACTCTTCTCGAGGTAAACAGAAAAACTGTGAACAAAGAAACCCACCACCCACTTGGAGCGGTCTCTAAATCCCGTCTCCTCTACATCCTTCAAGTGACAGCTCCTTTTCCTGAGCTCCTCTGCAAAGGGAAAAGGTACTTTGCAAATGAAAATTAATATAAAGAATGCATTCAATTGACTAGGCAGCAGCGAGACTGCTCTTTTTCTTAATGTTGACTTAAAATACAAATAAAATCGAAAATCACCTGAATGGTTTCTTAGTTTTGTCTATGAAAATCTTGTTTCAGCCTTGACTAGGACTAGTCCTTGTTGGCTTTGCAGCCACAAATTCAAGGACCGAAGAAACAAGAGCGTGGGCACCTTTCCATCACAGGAGGCAAGTGCTTTTTGGAAATAGGTTTGCTTGCTGCAGTCCAGATGTGCGGCTTTGGGAGAGGACCGTGTGCCTTAGGAGGTTAAAGATCTTTTCAGATGAACCAGGACAGAGGAGAGAGGGTCAAAACTGGATTGAGACACAACCCTGAAAAACTATTTTTTTGATGGAAATAATCCATTTTATTTATTAAAGAATTGCTTTCGTACTCCCTTTCTCATATATATATATATAAAGAGACCACAAAAATCCAGACAGGTTAGAAAGAATAAGTGCAATATCTTGTTCCCTGCTACTCAAGGGAAATAACTCATTATGAGGAAGATTAAACACTATCATGCCACGCTATAGTAGTACACTTAAGAACTTTAATAATTGAGTAAATCAACATTATAGGTATTTCAACAATGTATGTCGATATAAGCCACAATGGTTTGAATATCTTTGTCTAGGACATTTTAAATGTGTTTTGAGGTTTTTGCCAGTTAACTATTCTCAGCAACAGACTGATTGATAAAGCTGCTGCTCTGTTGAGCAATACACAGTACTCTTCTGCCTGAGGAGTCCTGGCACAACGTGGGGGGTGGGGGTGGGGGTGTGTACACACACACAGAGGGACAACTTCAGGCTGTTCTTTTCACTTCAGCGCAAAACTGACCCCAAGAACTTTTAGAGCACTGTGATTTTGAAAATCTTTTATGAGCCATCACTCTCAGCATATTTAAGCAGCATGTCAGGAAACATGTAGCCTGCAGTTTATTATAATAGCTTTATTTTTCTTCTCTCTTGAATTAATGAAAAAAAAGCAGCACCTGAATCCCCTATATCCAAAGTATTGCCAATATTTCAATATGTAGAGCAAGTATGTTTCTGGCCCGAAGTCATAAAAAACAAAATGTCCCTTAGGACAAACGCTTTCAGTCAAGTTATAAATCTTTCAACACAACAGCTCATTATGGGAAAATAGAGATACCCTTTCATTAAAATAACATTTTAATGGACGAAATATTGAAATAATGGAGTAAAATCTGGCTACATCATTCTCAGTAAGCAAAACAATGGGCACTGAACATTACAAGTATTACGTTCTGTTCAATTTCTGTCATACCAGGCAGCATATTTTTCAGCAAGTGGCTATGGTGGAAAAGAAAACTTTTTTCTTTTTATGGCACAGAGGTAAATGAAAAATTTGTGCATGTTAAATACTATCCTAAAATGAAAGAAAATCTGTGCAATTGTGCATGTTTTAAGACTAGCGCTTCTGGCATAAAACACAGAGCCTAAGTCAACGTAAACCCATAGTAAAACAACAAGGCATTCTTAATTCATCTACCAGTATATTGCCAAAAAATAACTGATTTGTAACACATAGAAAGCACTGAATAAAGAAAGGTGCAAAAGGCTGCAGATAGTCACGATCAATCTGAGTAATTATATTGAAATAATATTAAAAGAAACAAGACAAGTGTCATTCTGAAATTAAACAGGTGGGCTTCAGGCTATTCTGGTGGCAAATTCATTACATGCACTAATGCCACTTGGTGAATTCTGTGTGTACACAGCAACAAGACAACAAACACATTTTAGTCTATCTTTTATATGAAGAATTTAATTATCTATACATGTAACTAATTTTAAAGGCTGTATTACAGTTGTTAAAGCTGCAGGTTTTTATATATTTATATAATTTACATTCATACTGATGAAATACTGAAGTGCAATTGAATAAGGAGCTTCACTTGTTCTTTGCACCGCATGACGGGTCAGAAGGAGGGAGATGGGGTAGGATTAGAAACGCTACAACACTGCCATCATGAAATTTAGAAATAAATGAAATACATAAACCAGAACATAACTAAATGGTAAAGTAATTAGTAGAACGGCTATATTGTGCTTGAGGCGTTGGGAAGAGAGGGTTTCTGCACTGACAGCACCAGGCATTTCATCAAGAGCTTGTAACTAATGCTGGAAAGACAAACATGGCTTAGCTACAGCACATCTACTACATAAACTTGACTGTAAGCTCCATTTAATATTAATTTGTATAAATTCCACAGTCTAGTTTAAAAAAATGTAAACATTGGAAATTAATTGCAGGGAGATATTTCTATACATTCTTTCTTGTCAGGAAAATTACTTGTTCAAAATGTGTTGTTCCATAGTCATAAGAAAGTAAAAACGAGAAATCAAACTTCATGTAATCAAGATGAAAATAAAGAAGTTAATTCTCAAATCCCACATGAACGTAGCATTCTGTTGACTTCTGAGACGAAAATGCAAAAAAACAAAACATGTGGAGACAAACACAAACCAGGGTGTTTTCTAACTGTATGCAGCTACAAGTAATGTGCAAAATAAAATTAACATCACTGGGATAACAACATTATGCAATGTTAATATCTCTTGCATTGGAAGGAAGTTAATTTCTTCTCTCCACAATGTATTACACACTCAACAAGGAACACCTGATACATACAGTACAATAACTACAACAAAATACCTTATCTGTAATTGGGCACATTTAAAGTTCCTTAAACTGATTTAACTCCTTCTGTTCTTTTGTAATGAAAAACAAAGAAAAGAAAAAAAAAAAGACGACATATTGACAACACTGGACATGTGAACATTAAAAAAGAAAGATACATAAAGTCTCAAATTTATGGATATTTGGAACAATTTTAATAGCACATGCAGCATTCCTTGATAGTGGGTCTTTTTGCACAAACAAATTGCAATGAAGAAATTTAATTTATACTTTTCCTTTAAAAGGCTAAAATATATATTTAAAAATAATTTTAAAACTACTGAAAGCACCTGTGCAAAGGTGGAAAAATTAGTTTGGTAACTATGAAAGCCACAAAAGGACCCACTATCCTCTGATTTTTTTGTGTTTTTTTGTTTCATTTTAATTTTGCGTCTATATCTGTAGGTAATTAACTCAAACATTGCGATTACATGCAACTAATGTAAAATGAGGTAAACTGCTCTGCAGTGTGTTCTTCTACTCAGAAGGCAGTAGATGATCATGCTGGAAGCCACATGATCAAGGCTGCATCTCCCATCATCCCTCTGGGCAGTGATATGGGATAGTGGGTCTCTTTGAGGACTTTCAAGCCTGAGTGGGGGATGGACAACATATGATTCCTAGAAAAAGGAGGAAAACAACACATAAGCAAAACAAAACAATGAGCAAATTCAAGCTAGGAAAATGAGTCAGGCATGTAAACAGCATGGTGCAAAAATGATAAAGGGTAACATGCTACAAAGGGGATGGGAACTAAAAAGAAAACAAACATAAAATAAGGTTTGCATTACAGAAGGTCTTCAAAGAGACTTTGACAAGTGCAGCAGTGGTGAAGCTTTGAGTTCTGCAAACCACAGCAGAATCACAGCAATGCTGCATGTTTCATCTTAAAGTACTACACAAATAATCACAGCACGGCAGCAGAGAGGGTCACTTACATTGCTGGCTTGGGTCCATGTCTGTTGTCAGCTTCACATAGTTGGATGGAAAGAGACCCACTTGTCCATTCACCTCCCCTTTCCACCAGTCTGGGTCTTCCTTGTTAAGGACGTTTATAATCTGGCCTTTATTGAACGCTAGCTCATCGTCATTCTGTGCAGTGTAGTCATACATGCCAATTACTTGGCACACTGTAAGATAAAGGAAGAGGTCTATCGCACCGGTAACGTTTCAGCAAAACATAAGCTATGCATTAGCCAACTACGAACACTACAGGTGTCACAGTACAGTTCCAAGACACTACGCTGATCTGAACTGGTCCTGCCCCTCTCTCCTGTGCCCCTGTACAGGTACTTAGCTGAGCCCTCAACAAATTGGCTCGAGATGATTTAAAAAAATGAAGATTCTCCTAGCAGCACTGCTCTCTCAGTCAGCTTACCGAGGGGTCAGGATCACACTAGGGAGGGCAGAGCACAGCTGTGCAAACTGAGAACAATGTAACCTGCCTGGAACCGTACCCCAGATTTTTTTGTTTGGAAGTGCTCAAACAGTAGGAGAAGATTGGAAAAATTTAAAATTTTAGCAAAACGTCAAACACTTCAAGGATGTTAGCTTTCTATTGACACTTCTCTTTCACTTTATATATATGTATTTTGTGCCCACAAAAGCATCAAATTTCTTGTACGTTCATAAAAATAGCATTTTGCATCCTCACCAACCTGTTCTGAAAAGTATCCTTTCCAACAGAACTGGTCAATGGACAGAAAAGTCTGCGAAACTTTAAGTTCCACTACCCAAAGCCTGAAAAAGGCACTCTTTTCTAATTAGCACCAGGCAGGCTCAACACAGCTCTATAATTCAAGAGAAAGCCCATGGTGATATCCTTGTACTACCACTGAGGCATCAGGAACACAAAGATCTTGGAAAGGATGAGAAAAATAAAAAGCATCCTAGGTCATTTAGGCTGCCCTTCTGGCACCACAGGACTGCTTCCAGCAGCCTATTTTCTATTTCCTTACTGTGAAACTCATCAAATCTGACTGGTTCTCAGGATACAGCAGTTTCTGATCAATTATAATAGAGCAGTTTTCTTAATTCTCTAAAGCAGCAGGACTGTTTATTTGGATATATAATTTCCTCTATTTCCCTGATGTTTTCTATATGCCAAGTCACAGGGCTTCTGATATTTTGCCTTAAGACAGAAGACTTCTGTCTAATTAGCCTTGCTGTCAGGTTCTCTCTATTATATTCAGCCTAAAATTTTCTTGTGTTTTCATTCTTGTACTCAGCCAGCAATGTATTTAAATTTGTCAAGTAACTCCTCTCTTTGGAATTTATATTTCGGAAATTATTCAATGCCTTTTAGTTAATACTTTGTGCCTGTTCACAAACATCATATTCAAATAAACTCCACATTTAACAAGACCTCTGCATGTACCTCAATATTTAGCTTTGTTACTTACAAAAGGGCAAAAAAGAGGAAAATATGATAAATAAACAGAAATTAAAATAAATGGGCACTCACTGTCATTTGTCATACCTAACACATCAAGTAACCAAAGCGTACATTTTCCTGGCATACTGGAGATAAACCAGCATTTCTAAAGAAATGTATATTATGGTGGACTCCTGTTTTAGGTAGTTTTGTGCTAACACAAGTTCAAATGTGTGAACACCATTGACGTTCACATTTCACTTTAAAAGACCTGTGAATCTGTTTTACAGCATTCTTGTTACAGGTTTACAGGTGATTACTAACATTAAGAACGATAAAAAGTTTAAGCTAGACCATACCTGAATACAATACGTACATTAACAGATTTGTAACCCGTTCTAGACTTAATTTCTTTCAAGAATTTTTCATTCAGATCATTCTCTTCTGCTTCAAAGAACTTTATGAAATTTGGTGCTGTCCAGTAGTATCATCAGAATATCTAAATAGTCCAATGGGATCCCAAGCATCACCTTAAACTTGGGGAGGTAATTTAAGAGAATTCTTGAAGAGATACGACTCCCCAGTTGAACCTGAAACAGTGACCTCATCTTGATCTTATTTACACTCAGTCACAAAGCTTAGAATATACCTTAGTCCTACGTAGGAAGCTCTTATAGTAGTTCCAGCAAGAAAGTTCTTCACTTATTTTAAACTCCAAAAGCCACTGCTAACTACAGAAGCAAGCTATAGCCTACCTTCTCTGAGCTCCAGTGCTTTTCAGTCATTTGTTTCCTCTTTAGAAAGTTTGTCTATTGATTAATACTAGCCCTACTGCAACAGCAGAGGGAATCCAGGTTCTTACACAACACTCATGATCAGTACAGTCTATAACGTTGTCTTTCTTTAAACAAGCAGAATGGTTGAAACACGTTTCCCACTATTCCTATATGGTGAACTTCCTTATGCCTGACTAGCTCCAAGTAGCAGTAACAGTTCTTTTCATTTCTCAATACCAGGAAGGACATGTTCATGACACAAGTTTAGAAGGGAACACATGCAAAGCAGTCAGAAATTAAGAAAACCTCCAAGTATAAAGCAAAAGTGCCCATGCAACAGAATTAAAAAAAGTTTTTGAAGTCATGCAGTTTGCATTACAGTGTGGCAGACAGAGAGCATATACATCAAAAAGACAAAAGAAACAGAGGCTTTGATGATGATAGTTTCTGATGGATCCCCTACCTTCAAAACCCAGACAGTAATGGCATGCTCTCATACCCTTCATAATGCACCACCTTGGGCATTATTCAACCCTTGTAGATGGTTTTCTTCAGGCTTTCCATGTCTTTTGCTATAGTAAGCCTCCCCACTGACATACTTCCGCTATGAAGATGCTTCTTCAAGCATTAACCTCTTAACCTCTTACATTAACCACACAGTTAGTGAGGCCACCTATCATAATGGAAAGACAAGATTCTTCTTCTCACCCTCCAAAACGAAAGGTCTATAACAAAGTTGAATTTGATAAAAATGAATGCCATTAAGATTTTCATGTTCTGTAGGCAATGAAAAAAGTGCTAAAAAGTTTATTCTGTAAAAGTTTTATTAGCATGTGTGAGAAGTCCCAGGCTGTCAAACCTGAAATAATTAAAAAATAAAAAATCCCATCATACTGCCTTGTAAAAGTATGTATCTCAGCGCTCAGTTACCATTTTAACTGCAGGACCCAAAATCATGAGTCTTTATAGAAGTCTGATTTTCCGCATCTTTATGACTACCATCAAAGGAGCCAATCAGCACCATTTATAACATTTGCCTTCTCTGATGTGGTACTTTTATTTACACCAGTGACACATGAAACTAATACGTCAGTATTTTCTTCTACTTCCATAAACTGCACGATAATCCTTCATACATATTTGAAGGAGAAAATTATGCTCGCTACCATTTTTCATTTAGAAACATCTATTTAATTTTAAGGATAGACAGTCAGAAAACGGCCTGGGGAAGCAGCAAGCTTTTGCGCCCTACCACCCCCAACTAAATCCAAACAGATGACAGACAACCACGTCAAGTCTTTTGGGTGGCTTATGGAAGAAAACACATCCATTCTACATGTTTTGGATTGACACGAATCCTCTTTACTTAGTACTACACCAACTCACAAGCCCAAAATGGTTCAAGACTGAAACAGTCGCAAGGAATGAACTTTTTGTTCTCAGTCTTCTGCCTGGCTTTATACCTTGTAGCAGACTGACAGGACTGTTTGATATTCCCTGTGGTGAAGCTGTAATGAATAGCTTGAAAAATATTATGGTCTATCGCTTTTGTATCCTTTCATAAACCTTAAAATAAGTAGTTATACAGGACAAAAAGCTACGTCTTCATTTGAGTGGTCTTCTCACACTTCACCTTAGGAAAAAATAAAAGGTTCTGAATGAGAGGTGCCTCAACTGCTAAGCCCATGGACCATCCCGAACCTTTAAAAACTCCTTTACTACAATTAGTGCAAACAAATAGGACTGATAATGTGAATGTTTTACTCTAAGATATAATGTCACAGATGACTTTTTAGCACTCAACAGTTCATACCTGAGAGACCACCACCATAAAAATACAGACCAACTGTATGTTTTTCTCATTTGAAAGAAAAAAAAATAAAATGAAGAGTTTAACCAACGTGACTAGTAAAACAGATACTAAATATCCTACCAAATGTCCATAATTATTTTTAGGAGTCCTATTGTAAATGACACACATTACAAAAGCAACTTTCTTAATGCAACCACACTGCTTACCTGAAGGTAACGCTGTTGATTTAGGTAGCTCAGTTGGTGTAGTTTTACTGGTACCAGGGCTCAGAAGTTTTACATAATTAGCAGGGAACCATCCTATCTGCCGTTTTTTCCCCCGTGCCTAGTAAAAAAACAATTCTTTTAAGAGGATTAAGCACATCAATAGATCCTTAGACAAGGCAATTCAGCCAATATTTTAACTACTTGCAGTCACACTGACTATTTTAGAATAAGAAAAATGCATTTTATAAGGAAAAAGCTATTTTTGTGGCAATAGTTTAATATTATGATACTTCTACTATGTGAAGTAAGCTTTCATAGTATATAAACAGTAATTTATAATATCTAAACAGTAGTTATTTACTAATTTGAGTGATTTTTCACTTAACAGTGTTCCTACTTTGTGTGCTTTACAATTAATACTGCAACCCCGATTCTTCTGAAAGATTTCTCCTGTTATTGTTTAAACCATAACTCTAAAACATTAGGCTAGCTACTGCATTAATGAGTGGCAGCATTTAAATGCTTTTTCAAAATGCAAAGTATTGCATTTAAATAGATACCTAGATTGTGATAGTTTAAGCAGAGATTAAGGATCCCAATCACCCGTTTTCTTTTAAAGAAACAGTATCTAAACTTTTTAATAGTCTCTCCTGGCCAAACAACAGACAGAGCATAAACGTATGCCACATTAACAAGTATTAGAAAAACAGCAAAACATTATGGCAAGAAAAAATGGGTAAAGTTGGATTCAAATACAAAATGCCAAAGCCAGATTCCAATCAAACAAAAATTAAGCTTTGGCAACTACAAATACATATGGATAGACATTGTCCAAATGATCCTAATTAACAGATGTTACGGTTTTGGAAAGTACACTAGATGTTCTCATCCCTATCTAGTCAGAGAACATCAGTATGAAAACGTGGTGCACGCATGTGTTAGTGTGCGTGTGGTCCATGTGTGTGTGCTGAGAGAGCAGCAGGTCACCATACACCTGGCCTACAGCAGCGCTCTAGTTTGTAATGCAGCTGCAATGAGTAAGTCAGAGCCAGGATATTGGGACAGATGAACTGCAGGTCTGATCCAGCGTGACAAAGCTTGTGTCACCAAAGCAGGAGAGGAATTTGACAGAAACTGCATCCTGTTATTTCGCCAACTGCATTGTTCATTGCAAATAAAATGAGAAGAAAAATCCTTATTGTAAGAAAGGTTATTCTAAAACTTTGAATCAAATCTCAGCTTCTAAATTTATTAAATCTATGTTAAGAATTACTCTATTTATTCTCTTTTTGTGTTGTTAGAATAAGGTTGGAATTTTGGGCATGTAGAATTTTGCCTTTAAAAACAGAATAGATGTGAAAAAAAGTCATCTAACACATACACTATTCTTTAACTACTTCCTTCCCTCTCTTTTTCTTTACTGAAAATGAAAGCACTTGATCTAAAGTGTATAGAGATCATTAATTTTAAGATATTCTGGAAGACTGCATTAAAGCCAGCAATGTAATGCTTAACACGCTTGCCTTATTTTACCTTCACTCTGATCCCTAAGACAAATATCATCAAAATTTACTTGAGGCTGAAACTGAACTGTACATATACTTCTAAAAAATCCACCACTTTGAAATTAAATGCATAAAGAAAAGCTAATATTAGTGCCCTTCTCCAAATCTTGTCATCATTTCACTACTTTGTGGTGGGGGGAGGATTTGCTGCTTTTATTTTTAATCAATTCTTCAATCCATTTCACCATACTGCTGCATTAGCCTTTGTGCTCATGTAACAAAGGAGCAAGAACTAGTATCACAGTGTTGGAACAGGAGAATGAAAAGAATAGGTAGGGGACCGTTAATGAAGAAAAAAACAACTTGTAAAACCATATGTAAGACCGTAAGGGATCCAAAGATACATATGAGTATTTACACAACCAAAAATTAATTTTTAAAAAACCTCACATTAGCTGCTAAGTGGTAATTGTGACAGCTCTTGCCCAGTGAAGCCTGTTTTCTATCTTAAAATACATTCAATGTGAGACTCTTTAAAGCTACAAGTTAACAACAACATAAAGGTTAGTGAGAATGAAAACCAAAGCAATCCTGGAAGATGGTTTCTCCACAAAAGATGAAAAAATATCACCAGGAAAGGCAAAAAGGGCAGGCAGTAATGTGGAAAAGATATTTGAGTTAGTTTGAGCATCTGCATTGCAAAAATTAATCAATTACATTCTTTCATGTAATACTCCCTGCTAAAAAAACAAAACCAAACAAAACTTCATTCGGTGGTACTGGAGAGGAGGGGAAAAAAAAAAAGCTTTGCCACTGAAAGCCATTCAGAATCAAAGTTTCCAAATTGTCAAGTTCTACTCTTAAAAAAAAAGGTTAAAATATTTTATTTTCTATTATCTTCTAATACAACACTAAAGCTCTCTCCTATCTGATGCCTGCAACAGACACCATTCTTTCACTCTTCTACATTAAACTGAGCTGAGACGGGGCCATTAGACTGGTATTCTACACTGTCACATTTCATTAAGCAACCTGAAAAAGTGGTGGCCATCTTACAAAAACCACTGCTGTAAAATACTTCTCAATCTTTCAACAAAAGGGATAGCCAAACTTTTGGCTGAAGCAATTTAGAAAGCTTCTTAGGAAGACATTCAGGTCTGCGTACCCCAGTATTTCTTCCGCTTTCACAGTGCACGCAGGTATCAGCTGATCCAAATGCACACGATATGCGCGGTCACTATGGAAACGGGACAGAAGTAGACCCCGTCACTTAACCCAACAGTCCCATGCACCCCTGTTGCATGGCTGGGTTTCCCCACCGCCTGACGTGACAACGGCTTTTTTGCTCACATGAAGACGACTACTGGACAAAAGACTGGGAGGATCCAAAAGCAGCCAAAACAATACGCCCTAGAATCCACTCCTTTCTTATATCTGAAGGGCCTCCAGGAAAATGTACGAGGGAGCGGACTGCAGGCTGGGTCTGATTCGTGAGATGGGTATCCTTGACTTACAATGTGGCACAATGGCTTCCTCCTGCTGTCCTCCAAATGTACTTCAAGTTCAAGGAATTGGAATGTATGTATATTTCTGTAAAGGCATTTTATTTGTAAATGCTTAATTGCAGAACATTTTCAAAGTTATTTATCATTGATCCATTCATCATTTTGAACTATTAAAAAATTACAAATTCTTTTACATGGAATTTTATTTAAAAAAACCCAGTAACTAACTTGGAGCTCTCCTTCCCACCAGCCACCTGGATTCTTCTTTCTGATAAGAATCAACTGACCAGGAGCAAGAGTAAGCTGTTCTGGACCCGTTGCTGTGTAAGAGGCAATAACTTGGGCAATTTCTGTTGAAGTGAGGGGGGGAAAAAAAAAAGAGTTAATTTGGAAAAACCTGAACACATTCTATACAACATTAACTCTGCTATTATCACTGGCACAGTATATCCATTTTGTATTTTTTTCCATAAAATCGTTATGTATTTATGTAGTTCCATGAAAACATCCAGTAATTATAAAACAGATCAGAAGTTCACAGCACTACAGGAATAAGACAGAGGTGCAGCAGCTCTATGGGTAGGATATAAAAAATATTTGAAATAGAGAAGAAGAAGAATGACCATCACTAGAGCTATATGGCTCTTAAAATCAAGTGTCATAATACTGGTTTCCAATAAATACATTTTTGTAGCATCAGTTTGGACTAAGCTTCCTAAAAAGAGGAGGTACACGCTGATGACAATATAATGAAGGAGTTGCAGTAACAGAGGTGCAACCTAACGAAGACCTGCAGAAAATTTCTCACCACCAGACGAGACAAAAAAATGAATGCTTTCAAAATGTAACAAACAGGATTTATTTTGAAGTCTTTATTCCATGAACATTAATACAAAACTGGTGCCTTATTTGATCACCTACCAGCATGAATCTGACAGAGGGTAACTGTGAGCTCACAATTATCTCTCCATTAAATTAGCCAAAGTAGACAATGCAGTTTACTCCATTTTACAGTGGTTGTGGAAAGACAGACAGCTTAGTCACCACTAAGTCTGGCAAGGTTAACCCACTTTTTGAGCCAATTTGAACTGACAGGAGCTTATAAGTGGCTGTAGGTATTTTGATGTCCTACTGATAGCTTTTAAGTCAGGTTTAGCATGTCATCAAATCATGTTTAGGGTGATGGAGAACATGTTTAATACTATGATAATTGGTGATCCTTTTGTAAACAAAAGATGGTAGATTTGGGAACTTTTTAGCTTTTGGTAAGCTAAACCTTTTCAGCTGCTACATTTATGTAATCCCTTTTTAGTCATGAGTTAAGGGGAATCTGTGGGGAATTTTTTTTAGCCTTCATTTAGTTGTAAAGGGTCTCAGGTATCCAAAGGAGCACAAAAGTAGTGTTGTTATTCCTGAAAACTCCACTTTAGGACCCGAGTACACAGTCATTCATCACTTAAGTATTCTTCTTAACAGAATGATCTAGGGGTTGGGTTTTGGGGGGGGGAATGGGGAATTTGTTTTTTTGTTTTTATGAAAAACCTTTCCTGGAATAGTAAATTCTGACCCTGTGTTTAAGACAAAGGAGGTTTTTATTTGGCAATGCATCAAATAAAATTGGGGACCATCAAACAGTCGATATGGGCACTGAGTTTGACTGGTTATGGTTGTGGTCTAAGACTATCCTAGAACAAGCCCACAGCACAGCCAGTAGTACAAGATCACAGAAACGTGTCTCAACTGCTTCAGTGCAAAGACAGTCAGCTTAATTTAAAACCTCAGCAATTATCTGATCACAGATCAATATACTGCTTGAGGTTTTAGCTTTTATTTGAAAATCTTGATTAAAAAAAATCTGTATCAGTTATTTTCATTTACGATTACTGTTTGTACATATTTTCAATCTAGTCTATCCTAAAAAACTGGCACTGGAAGACAGCAGAAAAAGGTCACACCTGCCATCAGTTTGTCCCTTTATAAAGCAGCAGAAAGCAACGCGACAGCGAGTGTGAGGTGGATTAGTGGTCAACACAGCAACAACAGCAAAAGGGACTGAGGTTGAAGGCAGCGAGTACACAGAAGCTGTCTCCAGCTTTCTTATGGGCAGCCGTACTAAGAAAGTAACACAGTGCTGGGCACCGTCCTACTTGGCCCTCTCTGTCAACAAGCGCCAAACTTCCTGTGGCCAAGAGAAACAGCAGAGGCACTCAGTAACAACACATCACCCACTGGCTGGGAAGGGAGGGGGAAGTCTGCTGGTAAGGCAGAGAAAAGGAGCAATCATTGAAAAGGCAGTTGTAGGCAGAGGAAACCACAAAGCCAACTCCCTTGAAACAGAGTGAGGTTTTGTTGCAGGGAAGAAACAACAAAGTGATTTGAAGACTGCCAGGAAAACGATCAGATGGTTTACTTAAAATTTAGAAGAAAAGGATGATTAGGAAAATTAAAAATGGTCAGAGAAGCATTCAAGATGTAAATGAACAACATGAGGAGGATGAAGAAACAGAGAGATGACAAGCAATCTGAGATCACTGCAAATGATGACACATGCAGAATTAATGATGGCAGAAGCTCCCTCAAGATAACCCAAAGAGGGGAGAGAGAGGCACACAGAAGTGCGCAGGCAGGAGAGGGTGGAACCAAACAGGTGATGAAAAAGCCCATAGCTGAGAGTTAGAAAGATGCTTTAAACCTGGATCTGGAACTTAGACAGCACACAAAGTGTGAAAGCAGAAGACAGAAGAAAGAATTTCTAAGTAAAATATACTAAAATATAAAGAGAACAGAAAGGTTTACATAGAGAAAAGCCAGCAGCAGCACTGTCTGTCCTGTAAGAAGGCAAAGCAAGCAAGCTATTTGGCAGGAAACATGGCTATACTGCTAGAAAGTCTGCAAGCTCCCTGCATTTGCAGGTTTTTCCACAGTGTCACATTAACTCCTCCATCCTAGAGCCATTCAGGAGGCAAAATGAACACAAGCAAACAAATTAACAGTGGGACTTTGTCAAAATTTTTTTTTTTTTTTTTTTAAATCAGGCAAAACCCTCTCTCACTACCATGGCAATTACAATATTCAGTATATCATACTGAGACAGCAAAAATCTTATACCTCGCATCTCTCTCAGAACAAGAAATTTCTCATTTTTATCTACAAAAAGGTGATTTACAAGGCTTCAGGTATCAGACATCCTCTTTCACCAACCAGCAGCATAAAGAATTTTTACTGTGGACTGTGTGTTAAATAAGTTACAATATGAATTACAAGTTTAACATTCAGCTCTTGCATGTCACAGAGAAGCAGAAAGTTAGAGAAAACAACTCAGCAAAAAAGTTAAAAAAAAAAAGAAATAGCTTTCCTTCCAGGAAGGACCTTTTAATTGTGATTTAAGCATCGAGTTACTGAGACGAGATCCAATGTGGCCTCTATTAAACAGGTACATTTAGAAAAAGAAATAAATGCCTTCTCACAGATATAATTGTCCTCATATTGCTGCTTAAATTCACAGAGAGAGTGGTTTCTTTTTTCTTGCCCTTCAACACACACTGTTACCAACTCCCACCCACTCATCCTGCTGCTTCTAGAATAAACAGGAATATTTCACCTCGTTCATTAGCATTTCACTTATATTGGCTGAGCACTTGCAGCTCATTTATAGCAAAAATCTCCATGAATCTCCTTGCTGAAAAATAAGCAGGATGTTCCCAAACTGTTGTTAAACTCCGAAAGATTCTGAACACACCTTTTGTCAACATCCCTCCAGTCTCTACTTCACTGAAGGTTTGAATCCAGGAGACCAGCGATTATAAGGCTGGTACTCTAGGCTGAAGTCTTGTCATTCACCATTCTCCCAAGCCTGGAAAAAGCAGCCAGACCTATCAGCATCTTCTCACTATTCCTACCAGATATCACTTCTAGAGGTTTTCCAGATCTCTGTTCTCGTCTGCCTCTCTTGAGCTTTGCATCTATTAACACAACTGTTTTTAATCATGCAAATGGAAGTTAGAAAAGGCAGGAGTAGTTTACTTCCAAGCCCTTCTTTCCATAGATGGATCAGTAAGATTTGACAAGAGCAGCCCATTGCTCATATGTCAAGGTAAAATAAGCCAAATGAAGATGGGGCTGCTGCAATCTACTCTCCCCGCCTCCTCTTACACACTAACACAGTGAACCAGTTCAGGGAGACAAAGTGAAATCTCCCCACAAAACAAAATACGGATATGCATATGTGTGTGTGTATAGAAATAAGGCAAGATTTGGTAGATCACATCCTTGAACCACCTCACTGTGGAACTGAACAAGCCTCAGAGAAAGGGACAGAATGGAAGCATGGAGCACCCCCTATTTAGTTTGGTTCAGCTCAATGCAAAGTCATCTCTTTGGTACAAAAGCAAATAAATACATTGAGGGAAAAAAAGAGACATCTTCTGGAAAGTTTACAAACGCCTGCCAGTGGCAGAGAATGCACTTTTCTAAGGATCTTTGGAAATAAAATGGCTGTTTGGAAGGATAGCCCCCACCACCCCAAGAGCCAGGGGACCTCTTTCTAGCAAAAAAGGAGCCAGTGACATGACCTGCAATACGACCAGGCTTGACAGGCGACAAGCTGCATAGCATGGATACAAGGTATGTGCTCTTGAAAATGAGAAGCAGGCACAAGAGCTCACCAAGTCCATGTATACCATACTGTGCAGCATTCTAGGCAAAATGCTGTAAAGCCACAGGGTAAGAATGTATACTTCCATTTTCAGAGGCCCTGACAAACTTGGGCTTTTTGTAGGTTTCCACTGTTCTGTTCAGCAATCTACCATGAAGTTTACATTCATTTTTGAGCAAGCAGATTTTTATTCTCTAGCTACATGCTATTTAGTAATTGATACATGCTAGATAGAATGATTGACAGATTATGCATTATTTTATTATAGACAGCAGTTTTCACCAGTGCAAACTACTACAAAATCACCAAAAGCAAACATAATTTATTTTCAATTTCTGTTCAGCAATCTACCATGAAGTTTACATTCATTTTTGAGCAAGCAGATTTTTATTCTCTAGCTACATGCTATTTAGTAATTGATACATGCTAGATAGAATGATTGACAGATTATGCATTATTTTATTATAGACAGCAGTTTTCACCAGTGCAAACTACTACAAAATCACCAAAAGCAAACATAATTTATTTTCAATGGCAACAAAATCTTTTACATGAACTTAAGTACTTAAGAACAGATAAAAGGTGCTGTCACAATATATGACTCACCAGGTTTCTTCCCTAAGCTTCCTGTTTTTCCAGCTGCTCCAGGAGCCTTGAAATAGAAAGTAAGAAGTTTAGCACTCATTTATTTCTCCAGTATATGAAAATGATTTACTATGCTTCACTTTAACACACTAAACAAGGATGCAAGTAAAGAACTTTCACAGGAAATTCTATTCTTACAGAAACCCTTAATATTTTAGATGGCAATTAATACACAGGAATAAATAACAAGCAGTGTATGGAAGTGGATGACTAACTATATAAATGTGTAGACTTCTTTCCTGAACTTTTCTTCCTTTCATGGACTGCAAATACCAATGTAATTCCAAATTACACAGCATTTGAAGTGTAAATCTGTGTATCTACAGAATGTGAATTCTGTCGAGTTAAAACAACAATAGTAGTTTTCGACTCCACAAATAGTTGGATTGCAAATATGCCTAAAAAGCTAACTGGACATAATTATGTCAATACTGTCCATATTATGGTTCTCAAATTTCACATATGGCACATTAGCATAGTCAGTGTAGTTACTGCATCTTTAAGACGAGTCATCCGAATTTTGTAGGTGGTGCGTGTTGCAGTAGTAAAAGCCCCACCACCATTTTTGTGCCCAACTGAGAGCACAGGACACTGAATAGCAAGGTGCTATCTATCTGTAGCTATTTCCTCTGAACCTAGATGGGGTGAGATGAGGGATGAACATCATCATCATCCAGGCCAAGAGATTTGCAAGAAAAGCCTTTGAACAGCCACCAGAAATCCAGCAAGCAGTGAAATCAGTTCAGTTATGTACAGGAAAACAGCGATACTGAAAGATGAAATTTAGCATGAAAAGCTTTCATAATTTACAAACTCAAAGTTCTCTTCTTGGGGGGGGGAATCTTTTTCCTTGAGGCCACTGCTTATTTGGGAAGAGTTATCTTTATTTATTTATTTTAATGCACTCACAGGTCTCCTGATATACATGCAATTAGAGTATTCAAAACAGTGTGTAGTCTCAACTCTGCCCCTTGCATGCCCCCCTTCCTCAGTCATCTTCCAGCCCTTTTAGTCACCACCCTGTCTAGGAGAGCTTCCTCCTGCTCCCTAAATAATTACTTCAGTTTCTTCCCAGTACATTGCCAGTCTTACCTTCTACAATAAAAAGGCTTGATATGGATAATAGCAACATAACAAATCTAAACTGTACTTTGGTCAGAAATGTTGAATAACCATAAATATCCTCTTGCCTTCAAGCAAGGTTCACAACACTTCCACCTCCCCTCAACTTCTCCTTTAGGATCCTCCTTACAAACTTGGGAGTCTACATCAAATGATCTGAAGGTTTTCACAGAATCCTAATTTCTCTGTGGAAAAAGAACAGTTTCATCCTCAATATTCTCCATATTAACCTGATGCTTTGAAAACTTGGGGATTCTGGCAGAAACTAATATAAGGAGTAACTAAAAAATGAGTTAAACGACTGAGAGAACAGGGCCATTTAAAAAATGTGTATTGGTTTTGAATGCCTCTATAAAATAGATAATTAGATAGATCTTCAATCTGTCTTAAGGATTACATAGCTGCTATAAGACATCCACGTTTTGAACGTCTTTCAGAAAAGCCACTAAAGAAGCCTGATCTTTCAGACTGAACTATAGCACCTCACAATGCTGTATTAGTCAAGCCAACCCCATCTAATAACAGCAGAAAACCCAGCAGAATTGGCATTGCCTACCTCACAAGCTGTGAGTGGTACTGGAAGGTAAGAGTGGGGATGGCAAGAATTTTCTTTTTTTTTTTTTTAAATTTGGCACCAAAGCACCTTACATACACCTAGTATACCATGCTTCTCCTTGACATTTTGCAACTTAAATTTTGGGAAGGATTGTGGAAAGTGGATGCTTTAAGTTAAATGATACTTGGATACCGCTGTCTCAGTGCTACTTTCTTGTCATTGTAAAAGACTGATTATAGTTACTTTCTACAAGGCCAGCAATTCTTCCTTTCTCCCCTATGTTCCTTTCTTTCTCTTCAGTTCTCCACCTTCCTCTACAACCACTGTGACCTATATTAACAAAAGTGTGAAATAGGAAAGCATCATGCAGAGATCAGATACAAAGACTAAATCTAGGTCTGGGGACAAGGAGAAGATGGTCCAGACAAAGTGACCGTGAGTCCATCGACAGTCCCAAGTAGGGAAGATTAAAAGGTGTGGAACCAAAGGTGATAACTGGCACTGATATGGTAATACTAGGAATTAATTCTACTTTGGAAAGTGTTTCCGGCAGAGAAACACCCTCCCCCGTCCTCAATAAAGAACAAGTGTTTGGACCTTCAGAGAACACACTCCTTCAAAATATCACTTAGTCAACATCCATGTTGCCAGATTAGAAGCATATGGACAGATAAAACAGGCTGCGACACTGTATCTTTACAGTTAACTGGTAAACATACAGAGATTATTTTAAGAGAGAAGCTTCAAAACCACCTTGACCAGGCTAAGTCTGAATTCTGTTTGATGATTCTCTGTATCCTTGGTAAAAAGGCAGAAGAAATGCATCAAGAAGTCCTGCAGTACTTCAATAAATAACTAAATTAATAAATAATGCATTTAAGATGGACCCAACTTCTGGCCTGCTCAGTAGATGGAGAAGTATTTTCTATTCTTTCTGTTGAGAGAAACGCAGTGGAGAGGACTTAACCCATTCTATTTCCCTTTTGTACACCTGAGGCACTAACTGCCTTTGAGGATATTTTGTGACAAGCGATAAAGTCTCTTGAAACAGTCGAGTAGAACTTGTTTTGCTAATTTAATAAGATGCAGCAGTAGACTTGCCAATTGTGTTGCACAGTAAGACCCTTAGAATCCAGATTAAATAAATTCAGACCGTTATTATTTTCAGAACATTTATGCAAAGTTTCGTAACTAAAGGTGTCTAAATTTTTGTGTTTCCATGTCCACCATATGAGCTCCATACCTTATGCAGAGGTAATTATCACCAGTCTCAGAGAAAGGCAGGGTAGAATAAAAACCTGTTACAGATCTGTATCCATCTACCTCAATCTAAAGAAAACTCTTGAGAATGGACCATGAACCAGTGTTGTAGTTTATCTGAAGAACAAAGATTTTCACTCTGTTAATAAGTTGAAACTTTAAGGAACAGGAAATAGTTTAATTTAGCAACTGGATGTGAATGGGTAGCCTGGGACTAGGTACAGAAGAACAGATTATAAAAAATTTCTTCTGATGTATAAACCATTGATATTTTGAAGCTTACAACCATTTCTACAAACTCTATGCTTGCTGTTGAAAGATCAGCACTGCCTTACTTTTGCTTCAGGCCTAAGTCAATAGTGCAGAACACATTAAATTAATTTACTCTTTTAGTAACATTTTCCACAATCAGCCAGCTGTCCAAGCACAGCAGCACATCTGAAAGTTAACAGACAGCCACTATTGAGAAATCCTTTGTAAAAACTGGCTCTCTGAACAAGCTGAATAGCAAAACACTGTACGTGTAATGGCAATTATCCACTTGGAACAAGAAATATGTCCTGCGGGGCATATGAATCACTTTATGAAAATAAGCATCCCGGATATCAAGATCTCCATGAGCTCTGTGCTTTTTCCTCTCTCTCTCATCAAGATTTTATCTGAAGAGGTGATTTTCACCAGCAAAAAGGGCAGTTGGAGCACTTTCTGATGAACTGCACTTAGCTGTTTCAGCCCCAGACAAGTTGAGATCAGAGAAACATCAAACTGACCTCTAATAAAAATAGTTTTCAGTATTAAATGTCCATTTCTGAGTTCTCTACAAAGAAGATTTGCCAATATGTGTGTCTGTGTCTCACCAGACAGGACGAGCATCCAGTCCTTAAAGGCACACAAAAGGCAGCTCTGCACATCTGAATATAAATTCCCAGGTTTTGAGACTAAACTCTCTTGAGAATATCTTAAGGGAAAACAAAACCAGTTCCTTCACAAAAGTTCAAAGGAAACTTAACATTAACTAACAAGAATGTAGCTGAGGTTAAGTAACTAATTAGCAACTATTACTACCTACGAAACAGGCCTCACAGGGTTTTAGGAGGCTGACGGTGCAAGTTCCCACTCACCAACTACAATACGAACTTACAGGTAATATCAAGAGACTTAGGGCACAGTTTCATGATCACAAGATATTCCACAGGTTAGGCAATTATCTGTACACTTGATCCTATACCTCCGTGGAGCAAGCCACCGTCTTTTTGATGTATGTGAAGAATTACTGGCAGGGCTGAACTATAATCCACATCCTGGACTGCAAAAAGGAGTGCTTTTCTTAACCAGGTAAATTCCCTGATACAGACCCACAAACACCTCCGCTGACACAACTGAAGGGATGTTGCACCACTCAAGAGGAGAACCAAGCTGCTATGGGGACAGAGAGTTCAGAATTTCTTGTCCGGATTCTCACTGAGCTCCAATGTCAGGGTAAACCTATACTCTGCCTAACACCACAACTTACTACTGTACAAAATTTACTCTAATTTTTCAAAAAGCCAAGCTAGCCTGCTGTGATGGGCTCCATAGTGCTACAGCTACAATGCTTCCACTAACTGAACCATTAAGTACTCCTCTTCTAGTCTGGGACCTAATCTAACTTTATTTGCTGCTCCATAGTCACTAGATTTGACGCAACTGAAAGGTAGGTATGAGCACAGGCATATCCAAAACCATATATTAAACGGAAGGTATGATGTTTCACTTCTAAAATGAAGTATTTAACACAAAAGCCAGCTAAGAATGCAGTTGAAAACCAGCTCAAGCTAATCTAAGCCAATGCTGAGGCAATCTTGCTTCCTTCGCTACTCTCCTCCCATACTAATTCTGGTACTGACATTTTTCTAACCCTTGCTGAGCTGATTCAGAGTACCATCTTAGAAGTATGTATTACTTCTGCTAGACTAGTTTTCTGCTCTGCTTACTGTCCTGAACTGGCTTATTAACAAGTCAGATGAAAGACAGTGGCAGCAAAAGTGTGGCAGGTAGGACCATACCTGTGCTCACTTAGAATGGGTTACATATGATCATTTTGTATCAGAAATAGTGTGGCCAGCAGGACTAGGGAACTGATCATCCCCCTGTACTCGGCACTTGTGAGGCCACACCTTGAATATTGTGTTCAGCTTTGGGCCCCTCACTACAAGAAGGACGTTGAGGTGCTGGAGCGTGTCCAAAGAAGGGCAACGAGGCTGGTGAAGGGTCTAGAGCACAAGTCTTATGCGGAGCGGCTGAGGGAACTGGGACTGTTTAGCCTGGAGAAAAGGAGGCTGAGGGGAGACCTCATCATGCTCTACCACTACCTGAAAGGAGGTTGTAGGAAAGTGGGTGTCAGTCTCTCCTCACAAGTAACAAGCGATAGGAGGAGAGGAAACAGCCTCAAGTTGTGCCAGGGGAGGTTTAGATTGGACATGAGGAAAAATTTCTTCACCGAAAGGGTTGTCAAGCGTTGGAACAGGCTGCCCAGCTTCCCAGCCAGGGAAGTGGTTGAGTCACCCTCCCTGGAGGTATTTAAAAGATGTGTAGATGTGGCGCTTAGGGACATGGTTTAGTGGTGGACTTGGCAGCGTTAGGTTAACATTTGGACTCGATGATCTTAAAGGTCTTTTCCAACCTAATCGATTCTATGATTCTATTCTATGAAACCACAGTCTTAATGTGCACAGAAAAGTGTACCTGACAACACAAGGGAACAACTAGTCAAAACTGGGACAGGACTTCTCCAGTATAAGACTGATTAGTTCTCGAACTAGTAGTGCTAGGGATTGAAGAAAATTGTTACATGATGCAAAATACAGATGAGAAAAGTTTCTAAAATGTTTCTGAAAGCAATATCACAATACTATTTCTCCCAAGGACTGCAATGTTAAATATCATTAGCTACTATTTTTTTTTAATCCTGTCTCAGAGGATGTTACTGAAATTTCTGTACTATCTAGAAATTTATTATATAAAGGCTTTCTACAGCTACATATTTCACTGCTGGTTTCATTCTTCGGCTGTTCCACCAACAGAAATAATTTTAAGGAGTGACTTTGCTCAAGCTCTATATGGCAGACACAGTCTTTCACTGAGTTGTGTCACATACACACAGAATTCAAGACTTGTGGAAAAAGCCTTACCACCTAGATTTCTAAAAATCCAGTAATTTTTATTTATTTATTTACTTTTAAAACCCCTATTATTCTTAGAGACATAAACAAGAACACCTTCTCACCAAGAGATTAGTATTGTATTCAACTATGACTCTAAGCTAATTCCTACTAGAAGATGAATTATCCTCTCAAACAGATGAGGAATATAAATGAGAAAACATCTTTCTTTAGAATGCCTGAAAGAAAAAAAAAAATAATACGGATATGTTCTATCTGATTATTCCAGGATAAGAATCAGATGAAACGGAACCTCTATTATTCAGTCAAGAACTTTCAAATAAATATAGTAGTTAGCTAAGTTTTGTTGCAAAAATATTACTCTCTATCTTTTTTAAAAATAATGGCAGTGATACAACTCAGTCATTAAAAACTTACCTGGGGAACAAAGTAGTCATTGCTATTCTGATTTGTCTCAACAAAACTGCCAAGTTAACTACTAACATGTGCAAGATTCATTTTAATATATGATCCACAAAGTTATTTACGACATTATGTTGTAAAATGCAACTATTATTGTTTTCCCTTTCCAATCTCACATTCAGTAAAACTGCAAAATATTTTTTCTTCCCTTATGACCCACTGACTTGCAACTATCACTACACCACCAAATAAAACATATCTTCCCCAGCTCAATTTTATAACATTTCAATATGTCTCTACCTCAGAATCTTTGAGTCTCACATAATTAGATGGGAAAACTCCTGATTTATCACCCAGTGTTCCTGTCCACCAGTCGCCATCTTTCTTTGTCACAAGAATCATATCACCTTGTTGAAAAGTTAGGTCTCCTTGTTCGGAACTCTCATAAGTATACATAGCAATATACTCTGTAAGAGGGAAATAAATACAGAACATGGGAAAACACTTGATAAACTGCTCAATTATCATTTGCAAAACCTAACTAATATAACGTAGTCTATCCACGGGCTAGATAGAAGACAAATTTATTAAAATTACCATTCATAGAAACCTCAATATTCAATGCATAAAATTGTATCTATCAGAACTAAATACAATCTATCAAAAGGCTGCTTCTGGGGCATTTTTTTTTTTTGTAAAATAATTTGCTAGTGTAATTAAAATGTACATAAATTATTAATTTATATCAGAAACTACTCTGAAAACACATTTCCCAATGATTTGTTTTGTGCTGATGACTAGAATTTTCAGTCTTGGGGATGGAAAGTCTCAGTATCCAAATATCTGTAGATACAGTCTTCATTTTACATATGCTGTTTGGCTCTCGTATACAATGAATTCTTTCATTACTTGAAGCTTTGCATGAAGGGTGAACATCTCATTGCATCTTACACAACAGATGGCTGAGAAATGTTAAGACAAAGCCTGAATGTGTTCTGTTTTGTTAAAACACAGTCAACTACTTAGTAATCAAGTGCAAAAAACACTAAAGTAGACTGACATTGAGAAATGCAATGCATAATTCAATCACAGAACTACATGAAAAATTTTTACATAAATGATTACAAAGAAGAATTTCAGACCATTCAGTAACATTTTCTATACAACTTGATACATTCTTATTTAACTGAGCATTATCACGCTTTATATGGGCAGAAAACAGATTTCTGAAGATTGTATCCTCTGCTTCTAGGACCAGCTCTGGACCCAAGAGCAGTTCACAGTATTTCAGGAAGACTTTCATGCATATGTAACAAAAACGTTCAAGTATTTCACTGTGGCTGGCAATCATTCTATTTGCTTGAACACTAAAATCTGACCAAAAAGCTTAGCTTGGGGAAGGTCAGCGAGAATTCAAACCACAATTACTATCCTTAATGAAAGCTAAGACATAGTTTGTCTAACAACTGCAGCTGAAGAACACACACAGCAGTTTGTATGCATGGACACACACATTAAATATCATAATGTATGCTATACACATGGAATTTTTCTTAAATCCTTTAAATGTAATAGAAGATACTAAATCCATGCTTTATTGTTTCTTAAAAATATAGCTTTTTTTGGAAATGTTTTATTAAAAAGTTATGTTCCTTTTTAATACAAACATGTAACCTGAGATATCCCATACTTTACAAAAAAGACTTAGCATTTCTACAATTGCTTTTCCACAAATACATAGCAAGCAAGACTAGCTGTATTTTGAAATAACCAATTATCTCACTTTCCTTGTTACATGGACCTTTACCATTCTCTCCTTTTAACTTCTGTAGTGCTCAGGCCAGTGGCAAATTAGATACATCGGTAACCAAAGAGACTCTTTCACTTAAAATTGTATGTAGAATTGTAGTTAAAAAACTTAAGGTGTGCTGTAGAGATTATATACAAATGTTCATTTGTAACCTATATTTAGATTCATTGATTTACTCTGACTGTGATTTAAATTTACCCAGCTGACTCTGCACTGAAGTGGATTAAGAGTGCCCACACAGTCTGTTAACACAGCTCGTGTGGAGACATTAACCTCCAGCTGAAGGGTGGTAACAGCCAGGAATGCAAGTCTTTTAAAACCCCTGAGAGGCCTGACAATTCTCTGTCTGTGCCCCAGGCTCCATCTTTAAAAATGAGGGGTAGCCTTGACCATAAGGATCACAACATTCTATAACTGATTGTAATTTCTTTAATTAAGAGCTTTAATGAAACATTGGAAATGAGCTTTGGGTGAAATTGAGACATTTATTAGTAATTCCTGACATCATGAAGTAAATGTACAGATGTGCTTATTTAGCCCTCTGCAAAAACCCATTCCAGATTGGGAATTGTTACCAAAATATTTATACAAGAAACGGTACAAACTAGAGATGATATTTTAATGGCATGTGAACCTATTTCTTCTATATACGCAACATATATAAATTCTTACTATAATGATTTTAAATCATTCTAGAGGCAAATTGATTTGCACTTCAATTTTAACGGGCCTGATCTTAAAACACTAAGATCTGATTCTAAGCTTGTTTCTGTAATAAGCAGACTTATTCTATTTAATTACATAGTAAAATACTATTAATGCCATTCAGTTTGAAATGCTTACCTTCACCTGACATAGTTGCTTTTGTTGCTGGTGATGCTACTCTTTTCAGACTAGCAGGACTTTCTGAGGAACCAGAATCCACGCTTTAGAAGAAAATAACGGTTATTTAAGAAATTAAATCTCTTCAGAAAAAATATTATATTTAAAAACTAAAAAAAAAGAAAAAAAAGGCAAAAAAAAAGCATATGCATCCATAAGCAATTCCCTACATTTTAAAAGAAGAGACAGTAAATGTGCAAATTAAAGCTTTTAAGTACAATGGCCAGTCATGGTTACATTTCGGTAACTGCCTTATATATACAAGTTTCTGCACCTCCTCTTCTTCCACAGGAAAAAAAAAAATTATCTAAAATCATTCTCATTTGTATTACTAATGTTAATGTTGCCTTCTCATTACACAGAACCAGATTTTGATTGTTTCATCCTCCAAGAGTAATGATAAGTGATTATGTTTTGAGGTATACCTTTTTATTTTGGGAAAAGGTAAGTTATGACTTACATAGCTGTAATTCATAAAATCCAATACACTAATTTTTTAGTTGCAAGTCACGTAAAATTAAAACCGTTCATTAAGCTTTAGATCTTTTGTGGGTGATACATGACCCAAGGAGAACTGAGGTCAGTTTTCTTATTCCTCACATGAATTTCCAGGGTCGGAAGTCAAAACCACACAGAAGAGAGTCATATTAAAAAAACCCCAACTTTCTACAGAGTAGATTCTAAACTTTAAAATTCAACTGTGCAACTTCTCGTATTTATTTAACACTATTACAGTATAGAAGTGAAGTACAGTAAAAGCAAATAAAATACCTCGTTGACTTCCTAATGGGTCCTGAAATAAGCTTCACATATGATTTAGGAAACCACCCCTTTTGTCCTTGAACCTCTCCAAACCACCACATATCTTGCTGCTCCAAAACTGTGATGATATCATTTTTGTTGAAATTAAGGTGGTTGTCTTTTTTTGCTCTCCAAGGATACAAAGCCTGTGCTTGAAGCCCCTCCACTTTTTCGCCCTAATGCAATTTTTAAAAAAAAGAGAGAGAAGTCATTCATGGACCACCTTTCATAAAGAAAGCTGCTTAAGGAATTATATTCTTATGCTACTTATATAGCAAGAAAATACACAGACTCTCCCTCAACCGTATAAAACAAAGTAAGTCAATTAAACTCACAAAGTAATACCAGAAACTTTTACAGTCCTCCTACATTTCTATCTGTTAACACATAATCAATACAATGCAAGATTATCAGAGGTTTTGCTTAACAAGTTAAATAAAGTTTTACAATTAAGATATACATATAATAAACCTTCATGAAGCTATTTTGGCAGGACTTAAAGTAAACTTTATGGAAAATGATGCTTTGCTGCAAGTTATTCATTGTACATTCCAACTGTTTTTTTGCTCCAAGATACTACGATATTTAGCATTTTTCAGAACACATTAGCTTACAAGAACAGTATGCTGTTCAGTTGAGGAAAAGGAAATGCCTTAATAGATGGACGGAATTCATCTGATGTGAAGCTTTGCCACTGCTATTCCACTTAACTACATAATTCACTTTGGAGTGAAGGTTATTGTCATGTGATTCAGGAAAGCCCCAAGGAAGTGACCCAAAACTGGCATCCTGCCAAAACATTAAGAGTGGACCACCAAAGTCTAAAAAAGCCACAGAACAGCAGAACAGAAACCGCTTCATGTTAAATTCTGCCACCGATTTTGCAAACGGATGTACACTACCTGTTCATCACTCCAAACTGAAATAGCTTACCTATCTCAGGGTACTGTTTTAATGCACGGTCAATGTTCATACTTTGCTTTCCAAATGTCTGTGCTGGGTCAGAACAGTTTTAATGAACATAGGTGCTCACCTGACCCAAGACAGGAGAGGGAGATGATCCTGTAACAGTGGCAGGAGTGAAGGCTGATCGCTGCCGCAGCTGCCCTGCACTGGGAACAGTCAAAGACGGCTGAGCTGCCCAGGCATCCCAGTTATCAGTCTCTGGTTTCTCACCAGTGTTTGTTGGCCATCTGAAAAAAAGAGAATGACCTAATTCCTACCATTTTCAACTGAATAAAAACACTCATGCAGGAAGATTGTGCAGGGGGGAAAAAAAAAAAAAAAAAAAAATCTACATTCTAGGTTAATTTCTTCTAATTGAATATTCCATGAGCATCATAACTCTCAGGTGGAAGTAGTGCAATCAAACATAGGCTAACAATAAATTTATCTTAAAAAGGCAATCTCTAAATACAGTTGCTTGTCCTTGCTACTTAAGGCCAGCTGTTCCTGTAATTTAGTGTCATTGCTTAGCTGTGCCCTAATACAACAGAAGTTCAAGTAGTACAGTCTATATTATACACAGTGGAAAGAGGTAACTTAAAAGAGAAAAAAAAAACATCATCATTCTCTTCAAAACTGATCTGAAATCTTCACACCTGCACATCACTGACCTCTCACATCCCTTTCCCTTATACATCATTTTGCTGCTTCTCATTCAAATCCTTACATTTTTTCTTTTGCTTAAAATTATTTCCTACTGACTTCTTTCAACTCTTTAGAGTTTTATGCAACCTCTTATCCTTCTTATGTTATCTCTCGTCCTTTAAAATGCCTACTAAATCTCATAATCCATAGCTCTGCCTCCAAATACCCACTTAAATGAACAAAATCCCCTGAACTCTAGGAATGTAAACAAAGCACCTATCTTAAATCTAAGTTTCCTTTGCCTATTGCTTGTGCTATTAGTTGGAGTAATCAATTGTTGTCCACCTAGACTGTAATAGTGTCCAAAGGCCACAACCATCCCTAACCCCTGTATCATGTCAAGCACAGTATTATTAGTATAAATACTCTGAGACTCACTTTGTATTGAAACTGAATATTAATTTTTATGAAAAGCATGAAAGCATGCATTATCCACCTAGGGTAGAAGCAGCTTTGTCAAAAGTATGATTTATTCAAAACAATAAAATCCAGTATGTGCCAGACATCTCCAGGAAGCTCAAGATTTAGTCTTACCCTCCCCCCTCAGAAAAATGACTGTAGTAAAACAGAAAAGGTTTAAATAACTGGAAAAGCTACTGTGACGTATTTGATGAAAATTTTTAAATAGAACATATTATGTACTGTAATATTGCACTAAGATATTTAGATTTAAATTTATAAATATGTATTACATGATCAAAAGATAAGACAATTACTTACCCAACCCCATTTACATAGGGTTGATAATACTGCACAGAGCATTGAGTTAACAAGACATCTAGGGAAGGGCACATGTTCTACTTGCATTGGCCTTATTAATGTTGTGATAAGGAAATAATAAATCATCTTTTCATGTTAACTCTGTCATTATCATATTTTGCATAATCCAAGTTGGAAACCTTTAATGAGGATTGGTGTCAACTAATTTAAGAGAAGGAAGGTGAACACCTTGGGATTTCCACCATGTCACCATCCTCACTTAGGAACGTCTCCTGTTTGTGATGTGTCCTTCTGCATTGCTCAGGCAGATATGATGGGAGCATGGTTAAAGTTCCACAAGGCTGCGATTTTAACTATTTACTACGGAAAAAATATTTTACTTCAAACAAGCTATTTTTATTTTGCAATCTTGACACTCTGTGTTAACTGCCACCACAGTCAAATCGATTAAAAAGGACTCCACCACATTTAAGGTGATAATCGCTACCCAAACATACGTTGAACTGAAGTCTGCCCAGTTATTAGCAGTTGTAGTACACTCTGTAGAAGCAGGAGTTCCTAGTGATGTAGTGGTTTCATGCACAGAAACTTTAGGTGCAGCAGCCGCCTCAACTGCTGGCTTTACAGAAGCTGGAACTTCATTTTCAGGTATTTTCTCTGCATAGTTTGCTGGGAACCATCCAGTTTTCCCCTTCAATTCTCCACCAAGCCACCCTGGTTCTCCAGTCTGGCTTTCATCCACCTGTAGACGTATTAAGTTAGAAAGTTAAGAAACATAACATACAAATGGAATTTTTACTTAAAACAATCCATCTCATCCCACAGTAATTAACTTTCTCTAGTTACAGAGACATGACACCTTCATTACAAATACAAGTTCCACCTAGGTAGACTTTTGTTGTTGTTATTTAATTTACCTTTGGAAGATTATGTTGACAGCTATTCCTTCTACGGCGTATTAATAGATAAGGGAACATTTTGCAATGCAATACTGCTTTGCACTTTTTATTTTCTTCTTTTTTCCCCCGAAGCCAAAATCAAAAGGATTTCTCAGTGACGAGGTAAAAAAGTTTTCAGTCCTAATGCATAAGCCAAGCATGGGTTTTTAAACAGTTGCTTGGAAGTCTGTCATAGTACAGCAGACTTCGGAGAAGTGAGTTCTAGAGAAATCCCTTAAATACTGATATTTCTGGTTTAACTAACACAAAATGCAGTTTTTAACAAGTTTTCTTTCATTTTCTCTTGCAGAAAACACAACAAAAAACCCACAGCATATTAAAAACAACACCCATCGAACAACTCAAAACAAATCCACAGATTTGCTAATGTATTTATACAAAAAATGCCACAGTAAGTTTTCATACGTGAATTTGCAGGCCTTTTTTCTTTCCCCTCACTTGGATACCTTTGCCAAGCCATAAAGGACTGGATGAAACAGGGCTATTTTTGCAGCTGTATTTTAATTCCTACTTATTGATTATTATAATCCTGTCAAGCTATGACTTTGCAAATTTCACACTTTCCTGTTAACTTTTCTTAAACATTTCACACATTTGTTCTCCAAGCTCTACTGACAGACTACTGTCTTAGTCTGCTATTTCAACAAAAGTGATCAGTTTAAATTCTGTGAGCTGCAGCTAACCACATTCAGCAAGAATCGCAGAAGAAAAGTAATTCACTGTTGCTACCCCTGGTGAATTGATACGGTGGCTAAGTACCTCCAAGGAAATGCCAGTTGCAGAAACTTTTTAGAAGAAAAAAGGCAATAATTGTATTCGGTAATAATTTTGGTAAATTTGGTGGTCTAGCTATCTAATCTCTTTGATAGGTCAAAAGAATCTCAGTTTTCAAGCAAACCCTACATATTAATAGGGTTTGCACCTTTGACACGTAAATAACACCTCCTTTGTACAACAATCTGTTGTGCAGAGCTGCAGATTCCCCAGCAATGGTCAAGTCAGCAGTAAAACCAGGCCAGTAATGAAAAGTCATATGACCAACCCTAGACAGTGGCTGGTTTTTGGCAAGAACTTCTCTCATCTGTTTAGGCCAGAAGCAATCAGTATTTCAAAATATGTAAGAGCTTTAGATGACAGCGTAACTCAAAAGTTGACCGTGGCAGATAACAGTATAGCAGTCAGAGATGCTTAAATGTGTACTTCTAAATCACCTGACACTATTTCCTAAAAATCCATTATCAATGTGAGGGATTTGTTGATAACAGAATGCTTCATGAGCTAAGGAATAAAAACCAGTATCCTTTTCAGTCAGAGGAGTGTTCAGTTTATGACATTATACAAAAAAAGCATATAATAGTGTCTCGAGCTAGGTGCTTCTACAGTTGGAAACACACCTACAAATTCACTCTATCAATTTTAACAAAATATAACCTGATCAGATGTTTGTTTGGAGAGGAAAAAAAAAAAAAAATCAGTGGCAAAAAAATGGTGCAAACTAGTCGCTCTAGACTAAAGGTGGGACCATTCTTTTGCCCAGAAGTGACTGAAACGGAAGCAGCAAAGCTTCTGCCTCTGACTGTCCCTGGACTACTCATTTGAGCTGCTTATAGACTGCTTTGCCTTAGGCCAGTTGTTAACTCTTTGACTGCCTCCTACGGTAATTCGTGTCCCACACCCCTTTTTTGGTGTAAAGCTATCCATTATTTCTGCTTTTTGTTGGGTCCACCTTCTGTCTCAGTCCCTATTAACTCAAAGCAAACCCAGAAATAAACGGACTACATGCTTGACCGCTTCAATGTGGTTTTACTGCAGTGCAGAGCAAAATTTCCACTGCAGCACTAAACAGGATTGTTAAAGTAGCAGTATGAGTGATGGAAGGTCACAGCAGAGGGTGAATCTTGGAAGAGAGGGAGAAATGGATTATCAGCACCTGATGCCAAGTTGAATAATCTAAACAGTAATAAAAGTCACATAGTTTCTACTCTCATTCAACTGCTCAGGTAGTAACTAGAATCATAACATACAAAAGAATCAGGATTGAAAAGCCAAAAATCTGTTCTGAAAAGGGCATTTTTTAAATGAATCGCAGTCATACAGAAATCAGTGTGATTTTTCAGAAAGAAATGTTTTGTACAAGCAGACACAAAACAAAAACCTACCAAAGGGTTTTAAAAACAACTGATTTAATGTCTCTTTAGAAGACAGTTTTAAGTTAAAATGATTCATAAAACAGCCTTATTAGGATAGTCAAATTTATGCTTATTCAATCCAATTAAGTTTTCTATGTATACTCATGAAAAGGCACTTTGAAGGATAATTTTAACTCTATAATTCATTAAAAAAATCTCATTTCTCAGTTATTCATATAAAATATAATTTGCATCAGTTTTTGTAGTACAGTACTGGAACTTCAAATAAATTCCTTTGAACCTTTTTAAAATTAATTTGTTCTAATTTCCTTATATTTTTACACCCACCATCCCCAAGTCCCTATGACAAACTATCCCAGATTATTTTTTTCCAAAACACAACTAGACTTTAAATGTACACCTGAATAGTGAATTATCGTGCGTGTGGTTTTATTTGTTGTTTATTCAACTGTACTTTAGAGCCACGGCTTACAACTACTTAGTTCCAGAGACTGAACACAAGTAACAGGAGTAACAGCAACACAACTCTTTGCAGCAAAAGCAATAGGTCCAGTTAGTATCTCTGTCAACAGAAGGGCTGGCTTTGCAGTGGCCTGCTCCACTTTGACCTGGCTTGTGTGTCACCAGCAGTGCATGCACACAAAAAGAGAAGCCCTGTTTTACAGTAGATATTCACTCTACATACGAAGCCAAACCCTAATACTCTCACAAAAGTACTTAATCAAAGATAAACAGAGTACCATCGTCTGTTTTGTTCAACTATCTATCCATTAAATGACCATTTTAATTCTATTCCACTTGTAGGCTTTTCATCTAGATATTTTGAGACTACTGGAATTCCTGTTGAATATAAGCTCTGCAGGCCAGAGGCCATATGCTGATAACGCCTACACAGGACCTAACACAACGAGGCTGTCTATGTGTCTAATACAAAGAACATTCATTTTAACTCTCACAATCAGTAACTAACAAAACTGATGAGAAACTATCATTATGAATTTGTTTTAGACTTTCCACGGAAGCTTCTTTATGAACTTCCTGTTTAACTTATGTTCTCCTGCTATCAGAGCCACTACAGTTCAGTAATTCAATAATTCACCTGTATTTCACTGAATTATGCTTATCCTTATTTAAGTAAGCTGTATTATATAAAACATTATCAGCAACAACAGAACCCATTCATTTACTTCAAGCTGGAGCCTAACAGCAGCAAATGCCAGCAGGACTTGCTTTCTAAGAAAGCCATCCAAAGGAAAAGAATTCCAAACATTGTATACATACATTCATACACATAATAGAAACTTAACTTCTTGAACAGACAGAGCCCTGAAAGAGGCATGGCTTTCTTGGCTCAGAATATTTGTTCCCACACAAAAGCATGGTTAAGTTATAGTTAGGATTATAAATGAATCCAGCTTACAGTGAAGGAAATTTAACGTACATAGACAGGCAAGAGGTAGAGAAAGCAGAAATCCAAGTTAAGAGAAAATATAAAAATCCTGTAATTAAAAAGTGGAAGAATTAAAAAAAAAATATAGCCCACACCCCACGCATTCTCTAAACCATTACACAAGATGCATCAGTGCTACAGATAACTAACGTGTACTGGAAAGTCAGGCAGAAGAAAGCCCTCCTCAAATTTGCAAATACTTTTCCTTTCAGAATAAACCCTCATCCTTCTCCCTCATTCCCACCAAGACAGGTCTCAAGATTCATGCACAGTGTAAAAGTGCTTTACACTGTTGTAAAAACTATTTACAAGCTATACATCTATTAAAGCCAGCAGTCATTCTGACATAATGAAATCTGTAGTCCTATTTACATCCAGGATTTAGGCCTGGTTCCCATGCGTGCAGTCAATGGATTTGGGCTTCACTTGGATTCTTTGCTCACGGCAGTTACAGTTTGGGTGGTATCTTCTGTACAGCTATATGATTACAGGACATGATTACACAAGCCTGCACACACGAACCCATTTATAAGTGTTAAGATGGTGAAGTGCTAAATTTGCCTATGTTAGAACACAGTTATTCTAAGCAATACTTATTTTGTGGCACACAGTAAACTCCTAACTGTATAGGTCAGCTTAACTACCAGGTTGCATTTATGGCATAAATTAGACACACCTTAACATGTAAGCTTGTAAATTATTATTTTCCAAAAAATATAACCAACTCAAACCCTTAGAACCACAGGACACGACAAACACTTAAGGACAGAGAAGAGTCTAGGACTCCAAATGCCTATTATCAAAAATAAGTTCTGGTCCATTGCACTTAAATTACTTTTGACAGTGTGAGCTAGTTTATTAGTTTTACCCTAGATGAATTCAAAAACAAGTAAACTACATGGTAACAAAATCTGTATTTATGAAAATGAATAAATTGCATAGACTTCCTGTCCTGGTGTCGGCTGGGATATAGAGTTAATTTGCTTCCTAGTAGCTGGCATAGTGCTGTGTTTTGGATTTAGCATGAGTAATGTGATAACACACTGATGTTTTAGTTGTCACTAAGCAGTGTTTATACTAAGTCAAGGACTTTTCAGCTTCCCATGCTCTGCAAGGGAGGAGGTGCACAAGAAGCCGGGAGGGGGC